GCTAGAGTGAACAGTTTAATAATAAATTACATATATTTTCGTTATAGCTTATTAAGAATTTGAAAATAAATTATGTAACTTTTTGTCTTACAATTGATAAAAAATGCTGATTTTTTGTATTAAGTACTCACTTTCAATCCTTTTTATCGCCTGCATCATTTCCATCATCTGCATCATTTGACTCCGATTTGGCGAAACATCATTATTTGTTATGGCCTTGTTGGATTCTGTGTGAACATAAGTGTGTTTTGTATATTGAAGCTCTTGGCAACTCAGGTACTTTAGGAATAACATTTTCTTCGGAACTAGAATATTCTGATGAGCTTAAAACTCGTCTATATTTAAGTCGTTTTCCTCTCCCTTCTCCATCTGAAGTAGAACATGAAATACTTGAGTTAGTTTCTAATTTTTTTAGTATAAGTACTGTTCTTTCATAATCATCTAAAAATAAAAGAAACCTATTTTAAAATGTATTAATATTTAATAATTTACGGGTGGAGGGAAAACATTTATAGGTTATGTAGATTTATCATCAGATATGTTAATTAATTTTTCAAAATATTAGGTAATAGAGAAATGCTAATCATTATATTCAACGAATGATAAAACTGAAATATTGATATTAAACATTTTGTACTCACTTATCATTTAAAAATTGACGGGATTGGCTCTGAGCTTGCGACATGATGTACAAACTACATGCACTATGCACCTTGATTCTTGGCACGTACTGCGTTCTGGGCTCTGGACTACCTATAATCATCAATTTAAGAAATACCCAATTAACACTGTTAACAAAAATGGGACCAGAAAATACTCACTAAATAAACAAGAATTGGACGTTCGCCAGTTCCCGTGCAAACCAAAAAACCTTCTGACCTGGCCAAACACAAACACCAAACGCGTAGGTAAATTATTAAATTAATAAAATTAATTCTGGGCACAAAAGGGTATCCCAGATCCGGCAAGGTACAAAATACGAAACAATAAACCCAAACAAAAAACTCTCACCTCTCACAAAACAAAATGGAGGAGAAGAAATTTCATGACATGTCTCGTGAGCCGTCACCGTCAGAGTATGCGCAACCGAAATCAATAATTTAATAGCTTGGTAACAAAATGACATAAAAAAAACCTTATATAATTATTTTTTATTAATTTTAAATATGTTATATTAAAACAAATATCGGAATTTAGTTTTTGTGTGTAATTGTTGAGAAATGGGATTCTCCGTTAACGTGAAATGCAGCTTAGACACTTTTAACTTTGACAGACTCAATATAGGCGCTAAATTTAAATTTTGTAATATCGATTAATATATGAAATTCTGTTTTAAACGATTATAAATTAATACAAAACCTTCAAAACTTCATTTAAGAACTAAAACTAATATTTTTAATGTTTAAAACGTCAAATATATAAGCATGTAATTATTTGGAGGTCCGTACAAGTACCACAAACGGCCCGCTTTTGCCCAACACAATTGTAAAATTACAATGGGAAGAACCCTGACTACCAGCGCTGGGCCAACATTAATTTGCCAGTGTTGGCCTGTATTAGGTGGAAAACTTTTGGGCCGGCGTCGGTCAGCCAACATCGTCAGTTTCCCGTCATTGACAGCATCTGGCCATCAGTTTCCCGACAGTTAACTGTTTGTTGGGATAGTACCATAAATAACTATTAATCAACGACTGTTTAATAAGTTTTTATACAAAGCATATTATACTTGTCTCATCAAATTTTACAAGACTGCAAGGTCAACGATTGACATTGACATATGACAGAATACAAGTGACATCAATTATTTACTAACTAGACATTAACAAAATAAATATAAAAGTAGGTGTTACTAAGATACAAATTTAATATCCCCTACATTTCAAAGAGTTTTTCTCTATTTATATACATTCATTTCAACATCCTTTCTTTTAAGTTATTTAGTTTTATTGACCCCTATTATTTATCCCTTACATGCTATTTTATTTATTTTATCAGATACATTTACAATAAAATGAAAAAAATCCATATATTTAATACCGACCGCACGTCTAACTACTGCCACCTGGTGACGAAACTTCAAATGTTAGACCTCATTTTGAATAAGTTTTTATGGTTCGTTGAAGAAATTGGGAAAGGCGGGATGAAATGAGCATTATATATCGGTGAGATGGGGTAGATTAAAAATAAAAAAATCGCAATATCGCTTTCTGACATGCCCTGTATGCATCATAGTAAATAAATAAAAGTGAAAATCATTTTTATGGACGTATATTTAAAGTACAAATGTCTTTTTTATAACTACGTTTAACAATAACCGATGATTATACGAGGTTTACAGTTTAAACTAAGATTATATTTTAATTGCCCTATGTCTATTAAAATTATTTGTTGATGTGAAAACAATCAAATCTGTAATGTGTAACAATTACTGTCAATTTAGGCAGCCAGGATCTAAACCACCGAGTATATCATGTAATATGTTATATTAATGGAATGGGAAAAGTATGCAGATTAAAAAATCTAATTTTGACATATAAAGTGACATTTTTTTGTAATCGCAGCTGGTGTCAAAATGATCTACTTTTCGCAACTATTTGCATAATGTTGAACATTATGCAATTCGAAAAATTGATTATATCACTAGTTAAGTAAAGAAAACAAATAAAAATAACTGTTTTTGATTTTAAATTCAATAATATGCAATATTATTGAGAGTTTATATCAACGAAGGGCTAGCTGACTTATAAAAATAGAATTTGGTTAATTAGTAATGTAGTTTTGATCCTTATTTTCCATGAAAAATCAGCACGAAATAATTAAAACACGACGAAATAACCCACTTTTTTGAATACTAAATAACTTTAATAAACCATATAAACTACTACAAGTCATTGAGAATAAATAATTAATAATATGTTCTATCAATAAAGTGATGCATATGCAACTAACAATACAAGGAAGTAGTAATATTGGTTGCCTAGATGTCAGCAATTTCTTACTAACATTTTATAGATAATCTAGTCAAAATTAGAAAAAATATTGTATGCAACACGTTACGAAATGCCGTTTTATGTAACTCGTTCATGTTGCGGGACCTCGCCCTGCTCGTCCCGCAAATATTCACTCGTTACATAATATAAGACATTTCGTAACTGGTTTCGTATATAGCATTTATAGGGTATTTGGTTTAGAAAAGTATAAATTTGGTTTGTCCCTCATTTATATATGTTTAAAAATAATTTTAAAATATCGTGGTCTACTTTTCAATTCAAAATTTTTACATATCTCCAATAATAAAACGACTATCGATCAATTATTCACTGGTATACCTATGTACCTATAATAGGCTAACATGTTGGTATTGTTGGATAGATCAATTCAAAAGAAATTAATACTAATATAATATACAGGGTGACCTATTAGTGCGTAATTGTTCAATATCTTAATTTGTGTTATAGACACGTAAACAAGTTTCAAATAAAAGTTATATGGATTTGAAAAATACATATTTTAAAAATTTTACAAGGTTGCCAAGCAATTAATTTTTTTATGAAATTTGAGACTGATGCAGACCCCAACTTAAATTATCATAATTTAGGTAGGTTTACAATGATTTTAAAATTGTTTAAAATACAGATTATTAAAATACTAAGCTAACGAATAGTGGTGATATAACTATTATACATGTCTTAAATATGGCTAATTTTAAGTTCAATTTACTCAAATTTTTCAAATGCAACTCCCTGTATATTATTTTAGCATAAACTTCCTTATAAATTTACGTATCCAACGATTACAACAGGTTAGCCAAAAACACATTAGACAGTGCGTAATTGATCGATAGCTGTTTTATTATTGGAAATATGAAAAAAACAAAATTAATATAAAAGGTGTATGGATCATATTTAAGAATTATTCTTAAATATACAAGATGGTCCATAAACGAGGGGCTGACAAAACCTATACTTTTTTAAAGCAAAATACTCTACATCTTAATTCATTTTCTATGTTGTATGTACGGTGTGTCCAAACAGACAATACGATTGTCTTAATTTTTTTAATGGAGCGTTTAATGCATTACATACGCGGTATTCCATTTAAAAATTGAGAAAATCGTAACCTCGCATTTTGCCACACCCTGTATACAACACGTCAAATGAATGAAGTCTATTAAAATTGTTTGACGATGTGAAAACAATCAAATATGTATAACACATGTAGGGTGTCATGGTTTAAAAAAGTATAAGTTTGGTCAGCCCCTCATTTATGCAACACCCTGTATATCTAAGAATAATTCTTAAATATGGCCACACAACTTTTATATTTAATCTTTTTTCCCAATAATGAAACAGCTATCGATCAATTGATGAGACACCCTGTATATGTATTATTGGACAACATGTTGTTATGGTCGAATAGGACAAAGCATTTGCATTTGAAAAAATTTAACTTAAAATTGACCATTTTTGAGACATGTTTCAAAACACTCTGTATAAAATAAACCAGTTCTGACACCACTATTCGTTAGCTTAGTATCTTGCAAGTCTGTATTTTAAACAATTTTAAAATCATTGCAAAGCTACCTAAATTATGATCATTTAATTTTGGATCTACATCATTCTCCAATTTCATAAAAATTATTTTCAAAAAATTCTATTGTTAAATACAGTGCTACCACACCATTCTAAAACTAAAATAAAATACAGTGTGTTCAATTAAAACAATTTTTATTTGTCAATCAAAAATGTAAACAATAATATTTTTCTAGTATGCTTTTTTCAAATCTATATATTTTAAATGAAACTTGTTCTCGTGTCTATAACACAACTTAAAATATCGAGCAATCACGCAGTAATAGCACCCTGTATGCAGTGAGAAGTCGGAATGACAACTGTACCACATGGTTTCTAAAAATACTATATAATATTTATTATAATAATATGCTTGCTATGTATTTATTATGCTTTTATTTATCTAATTTTTGTTTTTGGCTTGTTTAGAGACCGTTATTCACTGCGTGACGAAGAATCCATCATTATAAACACAATTGGCATGTCCTTGATCGGCCTTGCAATAATTATGAGTTACATTCTGCAAAGGGACGAGTTTAGATTTAGGGCGCACATCCTTATACGTTCAGGAGATCTCTAAAAGATAGCTTAGCTTCGTTAAAAAATGCTTTTTATGTATGTGTATGTAAAATAGGTCAATGAAAGGTCTAAATTGTCAGTGAATTCAGAATGCCAGATATTATATATCTTGAATAAATAAAGTTGTTATGCAATATTATGTATTAATATAAAATACTTTACGGATTACGTAACAGTATCTTACGTAGAATAATACTTTTAATGACGAAACATATCCCGGTTGATTTTTTATATACACCCTATACATTTTGACAAATTAGACCTTTTATTTAGTATTGTCTGCTTGATCACATGATCACGAATGTCTAATAGAGTAATTATATATAATTATTTATACTTTATAACATTTTTAAAATATATATAAAATTTATTATTTTTATTAGACAGTACTTTTTTATGTAAAAGTTGACTGTACATTTTATAGTAAACTGTGTTAAATAGATTTAAGAAAATATAAAAAAATATATCGTTTTTTATAATAGTTTAAGAATCTGAATTTTTGCATTTTTTTAATGTTCGATTAATAAAAATGACACCTTGTTATATGAGTTGTTAAAATTAATTGATTTTTTATTTTGATTACGTACTTTATTTCTCAATGCATTAGGTAGTTAGGTATGTATAGCTTAAATTTAAAATAATGATTTAAAAAATATAGACAAGGTAGGTATGAAGCTTTTAGCATGTGCATGTCTCCCACAAAAAATGCTACACTCTCTGGCTTAAAAATCAAATACTACGAGTATTTTCTGCATGAATTGCTTTCATTATATGTATTAAAAAAGCGTCTAAATAAAAATAATTTTAAAATTGCTTAAGCAACTTTAACGTAAGTAAAACGTAACATTATCTGAATAATAACTCTTATTTTTCTTATAAACTAAACTACCTATTCAAGTTTATTTCACAATAACTTTTCTTGGAAAATATGTGTACGCAGTGTGCCCTAAATTCGAGTATGTATGGATATATCGCTTAGAAGGGGAAGAAGAATATAATGCTGATATCAGATCCATTTTCAAAATTATGTAGTTTTTGAGTTGTAAAAAAAAACTAAACATGGTAGAATTTATTTAACCAAACTTCTATCTCTAGAAACTCGAAAGTTCCTTTATAAAGTTTTTTAAAAATTAAAAGAGTTTTCAAAGATAACGTGAGTTGAGATCTGAAAAACGGAAATGCAATTTTGGCATTATAAAAATCCGTATCCCCAATTCCCCCTAAGGCAAAGAATACATACCCAAGAAGCGAAACTAAATTAGTTTTCGTATGTACCAAAGCAAGGGAACTTAATACACTGGGAAACGTATAAAAATTAATAAATATTTGTCGTTTGGTTCATAAGAATTAAACACATACTCAACTAAATTCTTACTATGTTCATCATGTCAAATAGATTATTTTAATAACATCTTCGACAGCAAATTAACGTTTAGAAAACAAAAAAAGAGCATACATTGCTTATGAACAATACCGCCGAACGGTGGGGCTCACCTTGGGTTTCTCCCCCAGAGTCGTCGCATGGACTTACATACGGTGCAGTTGTCTGGGTACCGAAAATCCAAAAATTGACAGATATTCGCAAAATAAAACAAATTTAAATAACAGCATGTCTCATTATAACAGTAGTCATAAAACCACACCAACCAGAGCCATGGAAGTCGTTCTTAGTCTCACTCTCCTTGATATTTACATCAAGGAAGTTGGTCTGATGACAATGACATGCCTCTGCACGGTTGAAATAGAACCTGATGTACGCGATCTGGCGAGACGAGACGTCGTTTTCGGCAAAAGGCGCTCGATACGCTCCCACGGCTTCAAGCGAACATGAACTTCATCTCACCGAGATATATCTTCGATAAGCCACATGAAGTTATAATAGAACAAATTGAAGAGCCGGAAGTGGCAAGTATGATTCATATCTACACTGACGGTGCTAAAACAAAATAATGTTCAGGATGTGAAATATACTCCAATTCCTTAAACCTCAACACAAAATGGGCTGTGAGCAATAGTGCTAATGTAGTTCAAACCGAGCTCACGAAGGTTCTCATAGCAGTGAAAGAAATTACCAGAAACAATATCATTGCTAGGAACATGCTCATCTATACAGATAACAGATAAGCACTACTTACCCTGAACAGACTACGAATTTACTTAGGGTTAGTACTAGAATGTCACGAAGCTTTGGCAAGAGTATTCATCCAACAATGTGGTCACCTTAATATGGATCAAAGATGACGCCACATCGAAAGGTAGCCTTCTTGCTGACTCACTAGCCAAGAAGGCAGCCAACCAAATACTTTTTGGATCTGGCCCTTCTATTGGACTGACAATATCGGTAGTCACAGACCTAATTAAAGAATATTTCCTTGTGAAATTAAAGGAAAGATGGGATGAAACAAGAAACTGCAGATTTACCAGGGAGCTTTTAAGTTATCCTGACAACACTAGACCAAACAAATACTTGACTATGACTAGACAGAATCTGCATTTGATCACAGGCATTCTAACTGGTCATTGTTAAGTACGGAAGCATCTACCTATAATCGGGCTGTCAGAATCTGCACCCTGGAGAGGGTGCGAACAAAAAGATGAGACCATTGAGCATATCCTCTACGATTGCCTGTCGCTCTTATTCATTAAAAGATTTGTTTTCGGCAAGTATTGGCTAACACAGGCCGATATAAGAGAAGCACCTCTTGGTGACATTAACTACAATAAATCTGTAGGCTGGCTCAAGAGCTAGGAGGTGCCTATCATCTTAAGAGGATACACAATGAGCCTAGTGAGGACTAAGTGTTGTGGAGTAACCCATCCTCCACACGTTACATATCCAGAAGTACTGTAGGTAGCTGTAACTGCATTTTGATTGCATTCTGATAGCAGCGAGTTGGTTCCACGAAGTGAGTTTGTCATATATTTTAATTGAAGTGGTGTGGTCGAAAACCATACATGTCCAAAATCAGCCTTCCGAGAAAAACAATGAAAACCTTTCAACGTTGAAACTACTTAACATAGACTATCTTCATGCATAGAAAAGTTTTAGATCTCGTGGTTTTGCAATGTATTTTTAATGGTAGTTTTTCAGAAAATAAAATGGACTACCAATGACAGATACAAATGAAATATGGACTTGTACGGGTTTTGAACTCAACCCTGTAAATAAAAAGAAACAGGTGAACATTTTTTGATTTATTTAATATTTATTCAAAAAGGAGGAAAAATACAATATCAAAACTGTTATCTCAGTCATCTAATCAGCATTTTCAGTATTTGTGGTTTTCCAACTGACCATAGCAACTGACCATTATTTTCTTGTTCAGATGAAAAACCGTACGAGTTACGGATATGTACGGTTTTTCGCCAAATTTCACGGGTGTAATCAGCTGTACAAACAAAAAGGCTATCTTACTTTGAAATGTCAAATTTTTGACTAGTAGGGTTTTCGAACTCACCGATTCAATTAATGTTTTGTATTACTTTAACTGTTTTAATTCGAATGGTTTGAAAAACAAAAACATAACATATTTAAATAAAAGACTAAATATAATTAAACGATGCACAATACGTATGCGTAAATTATCATTAGTGATTTAGAAATTAAAAAAAAACATTTACAGTTAGATGCAAAAACGTTCAATAAAATTTACGAACACCGCAATGTTTTTTTTTTTTTTCATGTAATACAAACTTTAAAAATATCTAATTTCTAATTACTACTTACTTAAATACAACTGCTTAACTATACTGCAATTTTCACAAAACGCTAATAATAATATACCAAACGTTGCTCTACATAAATTGACAGCTATATTTGACGTTAAACCACTTCTAAAACACTGAGAAAACTTGGCAGTTTTTTGTCCACGAATCGCCCATATAGTTTCGCTTCTTGGGTAGGTATTCTTTGCCTAAGGAATTATGAAAAATACACCCTCATATCCCTAAAGTAAAAATAAACCAAGGAAAAATTGAAAAAGCTGAGAGTTAAAGAACAGAAAAAATGAATGCATCGAACCTGGAACCTTCCGACTAGAGCCGTAGGCGCCTGTACGAGTTGGGCTTTCGAAGCACATGGCCGCGACAGTCGAACTTTGAAGTCAATCATATTCTGACTTTCGTAGACATCCGCTTTCTCAATTCTCCTTAAAACCACCCTTGTGACATCGTATAGAAGGACGTCAGTATCGGATGATTGTACTGTAATAAATTTCCAAAATTCTTTAGTTGAGATCTCAACCGTGTAGATTTCTTTATTTTTCTTTAATTGCATAAAATGTTGAAAATTAATTAATTGAAATTCATGTGAGCAAATGTGTCAAAATATTGTACGTGGTTTCCCATAATTTTTGAAAGAGTAAAACCAAATTTGGTAGATTTTCACACTTTTATTTTAAAAATAAAAATTTTTAAACAAACACTAACATGACATATGTTTCGAAGTACAACTTCTTTTTCAAATGTGACTATTTACAATTCGGTGTCCAATATATATACAAAATAATTTAACAAAACAAAGTACTTAAGAAAACATCAATAACATTACAAAATAAACTAACTATTTAAAGTAAATAAGGGTACTTAGGTAATTATAATATCCATCAAATAACAATAAGATAGCCCATTACCGGGATTATCTCACAGAAAACTGGGAAAGAGGTTTAATAAGGGTGAATTATTAATATCTAATTGATCATTTAGTAAGTTATCTGAATTTTTAAATCTATTTATTTCAAGTGTTTCTAAATGGTTTAATTTAAGGCTCTTATTTTCTACATGTAAAATTTCAAAGTTGTCTGTAAAAGAATGATTTTCAGCTAAAATATGATTTGAGTAAGTAGAATTATTTTTGTTTTTTGTATAGCTATTATAATTATATTATATTATTATAATAGCTATACAAAAAACAAAAATAATTCTACTTACTCAAATCATATTTTAGCTGAAAATCATTCTTTTACAGACAACTTTGAAATTTTACATGTAGAAAATAAGAGCCTTAAATTAAACCATTTAGAAACACTTGAAATAAATAGATTTAAAAATTCAGATAACTTACTAAATGATCAATTAGATATTAATAATTCACCCTTATTAAACCTCTTTCCCAGTTTTCTGTGAGATAATCCCGGTAATGGGCTATCTTATTGTTATTTGATGGATATTATAATTACCTAAGTACCCTTATTTACTTTAAATAGTTAGTTTATTTTGTAATGTTATTGATGTTTTCTTAAGTACTTTGTTTTGTTAAATTATTTTGTATATATATTGGACACCGAATTGTAAATAGTCACATTTGAAAAAGAAGTTGT